GGGGGGTGGGAGGTGTTCTTAATGAGAAAACAAAACTAATAGCAGCATCTTCAAGGATCTCTAGTTATAACTCTGAAAAGTACATTTTCACAGAATACTTAGTCAAGTTCAGTATGACCTATGATTTTTTTTCTTTGTTCTTGCTGTTCTTTCAGTGTGAAGCGCAGCAATTGCTACATGGTTTGGGGAGGAGATGTAATTGCTAATTCCCAGAGATCAGGTCGCAGTAATGTTGATTTAGAAATTGGATGCTTTGTTGACCTGGCTACCGGAATGTTGTCATTCACAGCCAATGGAAAAGAGCTTGGCACTTGTTATCAGGTATTATCAGATTTTCAGGAAGCTATCTAGTAAGCTGGTCGTTTTGATGCTATTATAAAATTGTTTTTTCTTGTTCAGACATCTAACTGAATGCTATTTCTGTGACAATAACGTGTTTTCTTATATCATTCTGCTTTATCCTGCTTCTCTCTCTCCCTCCCCCCGTCCCCATTTTTCAAACTTCTTACAGTTGTTTCAAATGTTGAGGAAGGACTATTGGTAGATATGTACAGAACTTTTTTCTGAACTTTTGCTTATTTTGAGTAATTTAAATCTCTTGTCTATTTTTGAAAGCAGTGAAACTAGTCTTATGTAGTTTTAATTTCTTGAATATTTTTATCATAAAATCTTCGAAATACTTTAGTAAATCTAATCTGTCACTGAAACTGCAGCAAATGACTGATATTTGTCTGGTCTGGAGGCTGCAGGATAATTATTCTGACCTTGTAACCATTTGCACTTTCCAGTTTTCTTAACTGAAGTAGAGGGACAATATTGGTATGCTGTTTTCATTCTAGAAGGCCCACAGGTCAGCATATTGAGGAGAAGAAATGGATTTTGCTATACTTCTTGATCTAACTATTGAATGCCATGGTGATAATCAGAAAAAACCACACTGTCTATAATAGAACAGTAAATGAAAGATAGCGTATACATATAAATTTGAGATTTTGTCATTAATTGTCAGGTCAATATTAAGGCATTCATAGCAGAAAGGAAATCTTAAATATTGGTTTACAAGACCTTTTATTTTGTTCTGAGTTAGTAATGGTTTTCTGACCTTCAAATGAGATTAGAAATTACAAATTAATTTATTATTACTAGTTACAAAGTCAACTATCATTACTATTACTATATTTGGTCAGAGGCTGCGAGTTGTGTTGCCTCAGTCAGTTACTTTCAGGCTTTAATGAAATAAAAGACACATTTTATTAGTAATGTCTTTTAGTCCAGGATATCTTTTGTTTCTGGATTTGGGGTTTTGGGTTTTTTTTTTCCCTTATCCTGGCCCTACTTCATTTTGTCTATCCCAATACTCATAGTGCTGAAAAAACTTTATTCTGCATACAGAGTTTTCAGTATCTGATATTATTTTACATTTTTGTTAAGTTATATTGTGTTTTGCAGCTGTTTTCTCATCTAAAAGAATTACTTCTTTTTTTAATGACTCTCATTTTCTTGTTTTGCAATTTTTGCAAAAATTGCTATCCATTAAGTTAGGAGTTGCACTCCTTCACAGCATAAGTATTGTACTTAGTATGTATAATGTATATGCATAGTACGCAAAATACACAATGATGTGATTAAAATATTTAATTGAACTCCTGAAACCTTGAATTGATTGTATAGAGTGTATCTTTTTTCAGCCACCCTGGAGCACTGAAATCTTTTTAATAATACGCTATTCTATAAGTATCTTTTAAATTCTTTTTCTGAGGGCACTAGGGGGGTGGACAATCATGTAGAGAATTCTTCAGAATAAACTGATATTACTAGTCTGACATCTACTTTGAGTCTAGCTATAATAGGGAAAAATTAGGATAATATAACTGTCAAAAAAATCCCAAACCCAACCAGACCGTTTAAAACTGGAGCACTGTGATTCAGTGTGATTCACTGTAATTTTGTGTCGTGGTTTAACCCGGCTGGCAACTCAGCACCACGCAGCCGCTCGCTCGCTCCCCCCCCTCCCTCAATGGGATGGGGGAGAGAATCGGGAAGAAAATAAAAGGTTAGAGCCGAGGGCTGAGATAAAGACAGTTTAATAAGAGAAAATAATAATAATAGTAATAATGAGAATGATAACAGAATATACAGAATATACAAAACGAATGATGCACAATGCAATTGCTCACCACCCGCCGACTGATGCCCAGCCCGTCCCGAGCCGCAAGCAGTCCCCGAGCCGCAAGCAGTCCCCGAGCCGCGAGCGACCGAACGAATGAACTAACCCCCCCGAGCATGACGTTATATGGTATGGAATAGCCCTTTGGTCAGTTTGGGTTAGCTGTGCTAGCTGTGCTCCCTCCCAGCTTGTTATGCACCTGGCCGAGCAGGAGAAGCTCAAAAAGTCCTTGAGTAGTCTGAGCACTACTTGGCAACAGCTGAAAACATCAGTGTGTTATCAACATTCTTCTGGTACTAAATCCAAAACACAGCACTATGCTAGCTACTGTGAAGAAAATTAACTCTATCCCAGCCGAAACCAGGACAGGAACAAAACTAAATCACTGTTTTGGTTGGTTGTTTTTGTTTTGTTTTCTTTTTCCAATTTTCCTTCTCTGCTCTTGTACTAGGAAGCAACAAGGTGATATTGATAATACTTGTTAGGAAATCTCTGCAAGGCAGAAAATGAAAGTAAAATTTTCAATCTAAATGAACAAAGATCTTGGAGGTCGTAAGCAACTTTTGAAGGAAGAAGATTTATAATGAAAACTTACAGGACATATCAATTAGAAATCTTCATTATTTCCAACTTGTCCTGTTTTCAATCCAAAATCCAAATTGCCATAGAGTATCTTGAGTTTGTTGTACTAATCACTGAAATCCAGCAATGCTCAAGTATGCCTTATCAACAGCACAATGCAACAATGTATCAGTGAGAAAGTAATTAAGTAGTTGAATAAATCTATCCAGATAGACTTCAGGTTGAAATCATTGACAAGCGAAATAGTAAACTTGATAAGCCAAATGAGGTTTCAGTTGAATATGAGGAAAAACTTCTTTACTCTAAGGGTGACAGAGCACTGGAACAGGCTGCCAGGGAGGTTGTGGAGTCTCCTTCTCTGGAGATATTCAAAGCCCACCTGGACGAAGTCCTGTGTAGAATGCTCTAGGAGAGCCTGCTTTAGCAGGGGGGTTGGACTAGATGATCTCCCGAGGTCCCTTCCAACTCTTGCGATTCTGTGATTCTGTGAGATAAAAAAATGGCTGAAAGAGTCAATAGCATGTCTATTTAAGGATATACTAATGGAACTTTATTAATAAATATTTTGAAGTTTTATTTCTACTTTTCTTTCTCCCCAAAAAAATTTTGGTGGCCTGTAGTGGAATCACTCACTTTTAATCATGTTATACTTTGAGCTCTATGTGCTGCTGCCATTGTTGTTTTTACAAGTCTTCATAGCTGTAAACATGATTACACCAACAGCAATAGATAATATTTTAGCTGACATGAAGCATTACAGAGCTTCTGTGAGCTTGACATACCCAGTTGTTGCTTTAATTTTTTTCATCACCTTCAGGTTTCACTTTGTTGTTATTAAAATGCTGTCTTCTAAACAGATAATCATGTTGATACTGTAATTGTACATGTTTGATACTGTAAATGTACTGTAAGGAATCAAGCAATTAAATGTATTTTCACTGTATTACCAGCTTTGACACTACTAGCTGCTTCATTTCTAAGTTTCATTTTTACAGGGTGAAATATGCATGCACATATATAAATGTCAGAGAAGTCAATAGATACCTTAATATTATGTTGTGTTCATTATTTAGGATTCCAGTCAAATTGAATTACTGAAGGAATTAATGGATCTTCAGAAGGATATGGTTGTCATGTTGCTGTCTATGCTGGAAGGTAGTCAAAATTTAATTTGAAATCCTCTTTCACGGTTGGTCTAGCGAAGTTTTTATCTTTGTGATTTTCTTCATGTGAGAAATAATGCTCCATTTTCGTTTGGGTTTTTAATTTTTTTTAATTCTCATAGAAGGTTATTGAAGAGCAAAGCAAATTCTTAGCATTGTAGGCTGAGCTTCATGAGTAACCTACTGATCCTAACTAATGTGACACTAGTTCTGTCTACGTTGCATGTAGTAAAATTCATCATATGCTGCCTCATGTAGCAGATGTCTCTCTGTAGGGCTTGTTAGTTCTTCCTTTCTTTAATGGCAAATGCTTAGTCATTTATGACTTTTCCAAGTCTTAGGGTACTGTTATTCATAAAAGACTTCTGATTTTACAGCTAGCTTTCTCATGTGAGTGTGTTAGCCAATAGTTTATCATTCTTACTGTTTGATTATTTCACTAGTATTTATTATACACTTTTCTTTGCCCAAAACGTTTGCTACCATCAGTAGCTCTAACTTCATGTTATCACATCTAGGTAATGTTGTGAATGGAACTATTGGAAAGCAGATGGTCGATATGCTTGTGGAATCATCCAACAATGTGGAGATGATTCTGAAGTTTTTTGATATGTTCTTAAAATTGAAGGATTTGACTTCCTCTGATGCATTCAAAGAATATGATCCTGATGGTAAAGGGATAATTTCAAAGAGGGATTTTCACAAGGCAATGGAAAGTCATAAGCATTACACCCAGTCTGAAACTGAGTTTCTGCTATCATGTGCTGAAACAGATGAGAATGAGACTCTGGACTATGAGGAGTTTGTGAAACGATTCCATGAACCTGCCAAAGACATTGGTTTCAATGTTGCTGTTCTCCTGACCAACCTGTCAGAACACATGCCCCATGATACCCGCCTGCAAACTTTTCTTGAACTGTCAGAGAGTGTGCTGAATTACTTTCAGCCTTTCCTTGGACGCATAGAAATCATGGGCAGTGCGAAGCGCATTGAACGAGTTTATTTTGAAATAAGTGAGTCAAGTCGGACTCAGTGGGAGAAACCTCAGGTAAAAGAGTCAAAGAGACAATTTATATTTGATGTTGTAAATGAAGGCGGAGAGAAAGAAAAGATGGAGCTTTTTGTTAATTTCTGTGAGGATACCATCTTTGAAATGCAACTGGCTGCCCAGATCTCTGAGTCAGATCTGAATGAAAGGTCAGCAAATAAAGAGGAGAATGAGAAAGATAAGCCTGAGGAACAGGATCCTAGAATGGGTTTTTTCTCTCTCGTGACCCTGAAGTCAGCATTAGTAGCTCTCAAGTATAACTTAATGATGCTTATGAAAATGTTCAGCATGAAGAGCCTAAAGAAACAGATGAAAAAAGTGAAGAAAATGACCATGAAGGACATGGTTATGGCTTTGTTTTCTTCCTATTGGAACATTTTGATGGGCTTACTACATTTTGCTTGTAGTGTCGTCCGGGGCTTTTTTCGCATCATATGCAGTTTGCTGCTTGGGGGAAGCCTAGTAGAAGGAGCAAAGAAAATCAAAGTGGCTGAACTATTAGCTAATATGCCAGATCCCACTCAGGATGAGGTACGTGGGGAAGGAGAAGAGGGGGAGAGAAAGCCAACAGAAGCTGCATTGCCTACAGAAGACTTGACAGATCTGAGAACTTTATCAGATGAGAGTGATCTACTCTCAGATATATTTGGTTTGGATTTGAAAAGAGAAGGTGGACAGTATAAATTGATCCCTCACAATCCAAATGCTGGCTTGAGTGATTTACTGACCACTCCCTCCTTAGCTCCAATGCCTGAGGTGCAGGAAAAAATCCAGGTAACTGTATCTTTTATTTCTGCTGCATGTTTCCCTCTTTCATATGTTAGGTATAGTCTTGAAACAAAACTTGCACCTGTGTTTTTCTGGGGTTTGTGACATGTTTTTTAAGGAATCACATATAATTACTGGTGTTTACCCTCTCTGACATCATAGATTTGGAATTCCCACAGCCTTCTCTAAGTACATGGTGTTTTGGTTTGCTTTTAATTCAGTGTTAAAATGTCTCTTTCTTATTGTAAAGTGAAGGATCATCTTCTCTCAGGGTTTCTTTTGTTAAAAAAAAAGCCCAATATTCTGCACTCTGTGTATCTTTTTAACTATCTCTGTACTGTATAATAGTTTAGACACTTTTTTAATTTTGACTTTTTGTAGGAGCAGCTGAAAGAAGATGAAAAGGAAGAGAAGGATGAAACAAAATCTGAACCTGAAAAAGCAGAGTATGTGTTACTTTAACCTCTGATCCTATGAAATGTGGTTTGTTTCACTGAAAAAACAGCTTGATTTGTACTTACTTCTTTGCCTTTAATTTTGTGTCCATTCATGTTCCACGTTTAGATTTTTTTTTTAACCATCCTCCACATCCATGCACATTTGCAAGGAAATGCCATGTAAATAGCATAATTCAGAGTTTTTATGAATTTCCCTCTTCCAGAAGCATCCTTTGTGATGTTGATTTAGTTTCTTTCAGGATGTGTTTGTTTGATTAAGTCTTTCTTGGCAAGTCTGAAAGCTAGAAGAAAATCTCGGAAAAATTGTAAGAGCACCTGGGTTCCAGAGACTTGTTATCCATTAGTGGTAGAGACTGAATCTGTTTAATATTTTAAAATTGAAGAAATCAAAAATCAAAAACATTTAAATCTTTTTAGAATATTGAAATCTAATGTTAAGAAGATTAGCTCAGAATAAAAATAGTGAAAAGCAAAACAGTGCTTTGTTTTAACCAGCAAAAAGTATGGCACTCCATCCCTGTATTTTATGGTTCCTGACACATGTACAATTCTGATATGTCTACAGTCCTGTAGCTGATTTGTCACTGTCAAAATTCTAGGTGTGTCCCTTAGTCTCAGGCTCTATCCTTATTGTTCTCCTGGGATAACAAACACTTGCCAGTAACAAAAACTCTTCTTCCTAATCGGTACAGCAAATTTCTAACTCAGCCACTCTAACTTTGTAAGGGAGAGTCTTGCTGACTTTTGAACGTCGCTTCAGTGTTGATTGTTCTACTTGAGTCTGTGACTTGCAGCAAAACCAGTATTCACTGTGAGGACTGCAGTGCCTGGCACTATTAGCTGCCCTGAAGCCACTCCTAACATAAGATAAGCTTTCAAGTGAACTTCCAAGTGCAAGTTTGTCGAGTGTATTCTAGTAGGAGAAGCAGCTTAGGACATCAGTTTTTCTGTTTGTAGATAGATACAGAGAAAATAACGATGTAATTTATAAGTTGCTTCTCACTCTGGTTTGGCTTCAGATGGACTTCTGTGACCCTTTCATCTATCATGCTGTCAGGTCAAATTAACTTCTAAGATAATTCACAGTTCCTTAGATCATGTGTTTGGAGAAGGCAGCCCGCTAAATATGACTGTCTGTAATTGGGCAGCATGGTGATAATCACACACTGAATGCTGTCAAGCTCCCTTATTCCTGTCTCCTCCTGGAGTGGGTGCTTATGAGTTCCTCAGGTGGGCAGAAATGCAGAGTTTAAAACTTGAGGTTTGACTTGTAAATCCAAGAACCACCAAAGATTTCTTCAACCATTGTGGGAACCAGATAGTTCAAGTGCATGAGGTTGGACGGGAGCACTTAGACATGCAGCTGTCAGCTTACAAACATTTGTCAGTGCAAGTATTAGCTGCACAATTATGAAGCAGACCCTCAGGTAATAAGGTTGTCATATTCTTGATTACCTGCCTCTACCAGTTAGCATCCTCACTTCAGGGTGCCAAGTCAGTGAGTTTAATTTTCTGTAGACTTAACCAGGCTGTCACCCTTGCCAGCACTTTGGGCTGAAGGGGGATATGTCTCCTTTTTATTCATATCTCTGAACTGCATGAGTCATGACTACTTGAGCCTCATGAAAAGATGCAATGGCCTCTTTCAGGATGGGGGTTTAATTTTTTGGTTAGCAATTTTATTAACTTGATGTATTATTTTGGCTTCATTTGTGTCCTAAGAGGAGAAGATGGAGAGAAAGAAGAGAAAGCCAAGGAAGACAAAGGGAAACAGAAGTTAAGACAACTTCATACTCACAGATATGGAGAACCAGAAGTTCAGGAATCAGCTTTCTGGAAGAAAATCATTGCATACCAACAGAAGCTTCTTGTAAGCTGTTCTCTAGGCGATGTGTTTAGCTGTTGGCAGGGATGTGTAC